ATTACTTTATTCTTTTGGTGCATCTAGTTTGGTAATTTTCTTTCAAAAATTGCTTTTATAGAGAGTCTGTGGGCCCATACTAAACTTTGTGCACAGAAATTGATTTACTATTGTAACTAACGTAAAGGACCAACCATAACACAATAAATAAAGATATAGTAATAGTAAGCCCATATATTAAACTTTCTGCCTAAAACTTGAGTTACTATTGTAACTAACATAAATAACCATAACACATGAAATAAAAATATACTAACTTGTTATTTGGAGAGTTAATTAGTTATGAACCAAGTTTCATTTTAAAAAAATTAAATGTCAATTTTAGTTCCTAAATTTTTTATTTTGAGCACTTCTAATCCCTAAACTAATTTCAATACCTTTTTAGTTTCTCAACTTTTAAGGTTGTGCTTTTTTTTGTCATTCCATCACTTAAATGATGATATGACCCAATATCCATTAACTCATTTAAAAATTTGTTTTTCTTTAATTTTTAATGACATATCTATTATAAATAGGTCCCTTATCATAGTCATAGATAAAATTGGTGGCATCCATGTAAACTAAGAAACAAAAACTATCCACCAATTAGGTTTATTTATAAATTAAAATATTAAAACTTATAAAATATTAAAAATACTTCTAAAATCTTTTTTTTTTCCCCTCCTCAAACTACTTCTTCCCCACTAGAAACATTTATGAATAACATGAGCTCACATAAGCTACCTTAATGGTATGTCAATACCATATCATCAAAAAAGTGCTGTTTTGAATTCAATTAACATCCATATCATCACTTAATTGAAGGAAGACAAAAAAAAAAAAAAAGTTACAATTTCAAGGATTGAGGGATCAAAAAGGTATTAAAAATAATTTAAGGACCAAAAATATCTTAAATTAAAAGTTTGGAGACTAAAATTGACATTTAATAAAAACAGAAAAAAAAATCCAATTATGAACCATGGAAACTTTTCTTCCCATGATCTTAAGGGAGGAAGTCTCAAGGTTTGAGCCACAAAAAATTTGGCTTGGCATCCCCAACAATTTCTAGAGGCAAATTACCAAACACACCAAAGGTTATATTTGGTGGGGTCTAAAGGCTTGTTTAGTTGGTGATAGTATTTATTTTTTAGTGAAATTATAAAAATAAGTAAATAAATAATATTTGTTAGTATTTAAGGATAAATTAATAATGGTTGATAATCTTTTATAAAAAAAATAGTAGTTGATAATGTAATATAGAAACCATTAGTTGAAAGATAAAAACAAACAGATATTTAGTACAATAATATATACTATAAACAAAGAAAAGGAAGTAAAGATATTAATAAACAAATACTTTATAAAAAATTGATGATAAATAATTTTTATTCAATTAATTTCTAATTTTTTGAATATTTTATATTCTATTTATTTTCTTCATCTATCTTCTTGTTAAAAAAAAATAATCTTCAAAAACATAAATACTAAACAATTATTAAAATTGTATGAAATAAAGAAGGATAAAAATGATAAAAATAAAATGTAAGGGACCAAGCTAAATTTTTTGCAAAATCTCAGGGGGGCCTTTGCCCCCTCAAACTCCTTACTTCACTGGTGGGTGAGATTTGTTATAACTTTTTAAATGAAAAAAATATTTATTCTTAATAAATATGAAATAAAATTTAACCATTAAAAGCAAATAAATAAATGATTAAAATTTTGTGTAACTATGGTTTGTAACACTTGTTTGTAAGTAGATCTTTACTCATTTCTTTACTTTAAATGTTTGAGATTTATTTACATTTATATAAAATAGGAATCTATTTACACACAAATCTTGCAAATCACACTTATACAAAATCTAAACCATCCATCTCTCCACTTTCAATGGATGAGATTTATTCATATTTATTAAATATAATTATTTTTTTACCTAAAAACTTATGACAAATCTCAATCATTAAAAGTAAAAAAATGAATGATTATGATTTTATATAAGCATAATGTGTAAAACATACGTGTGAATAAATCCATTTTCATATACATATAGAGAATAGTATATCGATCTTGATTTTATTAAAAAACTTAGAGCCCTAGTTTTGAAAATAACACATTCTAATGAACATTTTTAAAAATCAAAAGTTGAATTTAATGTTTTATT